ATAAAAACAAATAAAAGCAAATAAAACAAATAAAACAAATAAACAGCAAATGAAGCAAACAAATATAAATAAAGATAAATAGAGATAAATAAAGCTAAATAAAGATAAAAGAAAAGAAATTTAAATAAATTAAAAAATAAAAGAATTAATTAAACTAAAATGAAACCTGAGCAAACAAATATAAATAAATAAAGATAAATAAAGACAAATAAAGATAAAAGAAAAAAAATTTTAATAAATTAAAAATAAAAGAATTAATTAAATGAAAAGACACCTGAGCAAACAAATATAAATAAATAAATAAAGATAAATAAAGTTAAAAGAAAACAAATTTAAATAAATTAAAAATAAAAGAATTAATTAAATGAAAAGACACCTGAGAGGTAAAGAGCTTTGAAGCCCCGGTCGCTGGCAAGTCTGGCAGAAATGCCATTATACACTCCGGGGATTACTAGAAACTCGCGCTGCAGCAGGAGCTGCAGGCGGGCTCCCGGGGGCATTTCCGAGGCCATTAGGGAGAAAATAAGAGCTTTTTGAGCTCCTTTTTGAGTTTTAAAGACAGTTTTGGAGTTTATTCGGAGAAAAACGGAGAAAAATAACGAAAATGAAGCCCAGTTGGCCGCAATAGACACCCGCCCGCAAGGGCCCCGGGCTCGGGTGTACATACAGACACCCCGCCGTCTCGCGGCTCCTCGTCTTCAGAAAGCCATTTATTTTCGTTTATTTTCGTTTATTTTCGTTTATTTCGAATTGGAAAATAACATTTTAATAATATTTTCCTTTTCAAACTGCAAGAACTGCAGCCGAACGCAACAGCAGCGGCTCAGCTGCACGCAGTCTGTGGAACCCACGGAACATGCGGAGTTGATGAGGAATAGTTGGCTCGATTCAAAAGCTTTTTTTAAATTCAAACTAAAATGAATATTTAAAATGCAAATGAAATCATTTCTGTTAAATTTGGCCTTCGGAAAGAGCAGAAACGAGAGCCGCAAGCGCCGGACCAGTGGACCATTGCCGACGCGAGGTGTACGTACACCCCATGATCCCAAACTTCACGGAGTTTGAAATGCCACCTTTCGCCTTTCTTTCAACTCCAAATTAATTCTTTTCTTTTTAAAAATGCTTCGTCTTTCTTAATTTTCACGTTGGGGTCTTAAAGGAGGCGAGTTTGGCTTTTTTTCAGGTGTATAGACAGCTCAGGCAGCAAGCTGAAACTCCGCAGTGTTGTGAAAAACTAATTTGGTGTACTTACACTCGAGAAGCTGCTTCAAGTGAACTCGTAGGCACTAGCAAAAGAATAGGGCTTCACCTATCACTCCACTTTTAGGGCTTTGGGTTTAGGGTTTAGGTTTAGGGTTTAGGGTTTAGGGTTTGGGATTTGGGGTTTATGGCTTGGGGTTTGGGGTTTAGGGTTCTGCGTGAAGGGCGTGGAGTTGAGGGTTTAGGCTTTAGTGCAGTTCTGTGGGGATGCTTCTACAGGCAACTTCTGTGCAACGCCGCCAACTGCACTTCTAGGGTTTAGGGTTTAGGGTTTAGGGTTTAGGGTTTAGTCTGAAGCAGCAAATAAAGCTCCAGGCATTCTTGAAAAGTTAAAAACAAAAATTAAATTTCAAAAGACTATGAAATGGATAAGGGTATTTGCGTGAGCGGAGCTTATTTACAGCACGCACACAGTTTATCCCCTAAACCCTAAACCCTAAACCCTAAACCCTAAACCCTAAACCCTGAATTCTAAGCTCAAAGTTGAGAGTAAATGGCGCAAATATGTTCTTAACTTAAAACGCTAAACGACGAAGCCTGCCCTGCACTCTATACCCCATACCCGAGCCCCAAACCCTAAACCCTAAACCCCAAAATTAAACCCTGAACCCCAAAAATAAACCCTAAACCCTAAACCCTAAACCCTAAACCCTAAACCCTAAACCCTGTAGAAATGGCACAAGTGGTATATGCAAGCACCAAAACACCTTAGTAGAAATTCCAGTCGACTCAATTAGTTCTTAAGTGGCCATGAATTTATTTTAATAAACTCGCAGGCTGCCGCTTGGGTCCAGGGTTTAGGGTTTAGGGTTTAGGGTTTAGGGTGTAGGTATACGAGCTCAGTATATCAGCTCTGCCGCTTGGGCGTAGGGTTTAGGGTTTAGGGTTTAGGTTAAGGAGCTTTTATCAGCTCCAAAGAAGAAGTTTGGGCTGAGGGGTTTAGGGTTTGCGTCGTAAAGACCTCTCCGTTGTCAGGGACTAGGGTTTAGGGTTTGAGGGTTTAGAGTTTAGGGTTTGAGGGTTTAGGGTTTAGGGTTTGAGGGTTTAGGGTTTAGGGTTTGAATGACGGACACATTCAAAGTTTCTCTTATGAATGGCCCTCTGTTTCGCTTGCACAAAGTGGAGCCAAACCCTGTAAACCCTAAAGCCTAAACCCTAAAGCCCAAACCCTCCGGCCTAATTCCTAAGCCCTAAGCCCTAAACCCTAAACCCTAAACCCTAAACCCTAAACCCTAAACCCTAGAGGCCGCGTGGCGAGTCAGCTGCGGCGTTAAGCGTAGGTGCGTGTAGACGGGCGTTGTTCGGGTGTACGTACACTTGGGGAGTGCGTTTGGCTCGCAGGGGAAAGCCAGCGAAGAAAAAAGAATTTATTTATTTTCTTTTTTGCATTAAGTGGACTGAATTTAAAAAAGTTAATTTAAAAAAGTTAATTTAAAAAGTGGAAGAGAGGATCCTGGGGAGTGCGTGGGTTCCCGCCTCTCGTTGTCTGAGAGGTTGAAGGCGGAAGGCGAGAGAGTCTGGAGCGCGAGGACTTCTCCTGAAACGCCTCTCTGGATTTTAGCGGAGAAGTTCTCCATCGCTGAACTCCAAAATGTTTCCGTTTGAATAAAAGAAGTGGAAAAGGAAGAGGAACCGAGACACGGGCGTCCGCAGCTATTGGGGTGTCTGTACAGTGCCGGTCTTGCTAGCCGCGCGCACCGCGCGGCGCCAGGCCCGCGATCTTCCGCTAAAACGCCAAAAGGGAGTTTTAAAAAGCGCATTTTCGTGTTTGTTTCGACGAAAGGATTCTAAAAATGCCAAATTTGTCTTCTGAAGGCCGCAAGAAGCCGGTTGATCGCGGGCCCCAAGCCGACCCACTGGCTTCCCGCGGCGAGCAGCCGTGCGTGGGAACGCGGGAGCTTCCCGGCCTTTCTCTCCGCAGTTTCGCTTTTTAATTCAAAAAATATGAATTGCATTTATTTTCAAAAGGGTTTCTGCAGAAAATGAAGGAATAAACCCTCGAGAAAGCAAACATCCGCGAGTGCAGCAGCGGCTAGCCGGCGGCGAAGAGGACCCGAAAAGTGCCCATGAGGAGCGCCCGCGCGCCTCCTAAACCCTAAACCCTAAACCCTAAACCCTAAACCCTCGTTTTTATAAGCCTCCCGCGCAGCAGCTCTCGGATGGCTCTCTGAACTGCAGCAGCAACGGACGCCGGGCTTCCATGGGGAAGCACCACGGCAGCGCCCCTGAAACGCTAAACCCTAAACCCTAAACCCTAAACCCTAAACCCTCGTTCTCTCTTCGCTGCCCTCATGCAAGAGGGAATGCCGGAGGTCCCCATTGTCCCACTGAAGGGGCCGCACAGTCGACGATCTCAAGTCCACAGAATGTCTCAAGGTACCTAAACCCTAAACCCTAAACCCTAAACCCTAGTGTTTGAAGATACGGGTAAAAAGACACAGTGTTTTGAGGGTTTGTCTCTCTTCCCGCAAGGGCCTCCGCTTCGGGGGCCCCTTTTCGCCACGGTTTGGGGCCAGGGTTTGCAGCCACGGGCTAGGGTTTAGGGTTTAGGGTTTAGGGTTTAGGGTTTTTAGGGTTTGATCACAGGAGCAAGCAGTGCATGCTTAACTGCTCCAGCTTTTCCTTTTCTGTCTCCTTGTCCATTTCTTTTTGCTCCAATCAACTTCTCTTTAGTGTGCCGTTTGATTGCTTGTTCCAAGCTGCCCAGGGTTTAGGGTTTAGGGTTTAGGGTTTAGGGTTTGCGGTTTAGGGTTTAGGGTTTAGGGTTTAGGGTTTAAGGTTTAGGGTTTGCGGCACTCTCTAGAGGGCGGGTCGGACCATAAGTTGTTTGTGTGCGTCTCAACGCCTACCAGGCCCCGATGCGCAGCCCGTATCCTTAAACCCTAAACCCCAAACCCTAAACCCTAAACCCTAATTTGTGGTTTGGCATTTGCCCGTATTTGCGGGCGCACAGCGAGAAGTGCAGGAGCTCCTCCGGCCCGCCTGAGCTCCCACAGTCCAGGGTCTAGGGTTTACCAGGGCTTACCAGGGTTTAGGGTTTAGGGCTTAGGGTTTAGGGTTTAGGGTTTAGGGTTTAGGGTTTAGGGTTTGATGCTGCAGTGGCGCCGGCGGAGGGCGAGGGGCCTTTCCTGCTGTCGGCCGCCAGCAGCCCGCAGCCTTCGGTGTCTCAGCTGCAGCGAAGTGGAATTTCAAATGTGAGTAATTTGAATTAAATAAATAATTAATTTAATTAATTTAATTTAATTAATTTAATTAATTTAATTAATTTAATTAATTTAATTTAATTAATTTAATTTAATTAATTTAATTTAATTAATTTAATTTAATTCATTCATTTAATTAATTCCATTTTTATTTTTTTTTTTAATTCCAAAATCCGAATTTCAAAAATTCAAATTCCGCGCTTTTCGACTGCGCCCAGCTGCAGTTAAAGCAGCAAATAAATAAATAAATAAATAAATAAATAAATAAATAAATAAATAATTTAATTAATTATTTAATTAACTTGAATGAATTAATTATTTAATTAAATTAATTAAATTGATTAATTAATTAAATCAATTAAACTGATTAATTTAATTGATTATTAAAATTGTAATGCAGTTGGTTTTTGTGGATTTTACAAACACTGCAAGTGGAGAATTTAAAAAAATTAAATTAATTTAATGAAAATAAAATAATTAAATGGTTTTAAATAAATTTAAAATCTCAAATTCACTTCAGTGAAAAGTTCGAAAGATTTAAAAGCGGTGTCTGCGGGGCCGACTCAGTTGCTGCTGCTGCTGTTGTTGTTGCTGCTGCTGCTGCTGTTGTTGCTGCTGCTGCTGTTGTTGCTGCTGTTGCTGTTGTTGCTGCTGTTGCTGGCGTTGTTGCTGTTGCTGGTTTTGTTGCTGTTGCTGCGGTTCTGCTCCTGCCGTCTTTGCTGCTGCTGCTGCTGTCTTTGCTGCTGCTGCTGCTGCTGCTGCTGCTGCTGCTGCTGCATTTGCTGCTGCTTCGGGGGAGGGCGAGGCGACGCCTTCTCCTGTTGCGCTCAGAGGGTGTCTTGTTGCTGCTGCTGTTGCTGCTGCTGCCGTTGCTGCTCTCTTTGCTGCTGCTGCTGCTCTCTTTGCTGCTGCTGCTGCTCTCTTTGCTGCTGCTGCTGCACTGATGAGTTAAGAAATGAGGCAGAAGTAGATAAATGACTGCAGCAATTGCATGGGAATTAAATAAAGCAAATGAAATAATGGATTTGATTTGCAGATTAATTAATTGTTGCAATAATTTTTGTCTTTAATTAATTATTTTGATTAGAAAAACGAAACAAAAGGAATTGTTTTGCTGCTGCTGCAAGTCAGGCCAGCCGGGTGGGCACGACGTCCGCAGCAGCAGCAGCAGCGGAGGCAGCAGCAGCAACGGCGCCCGCTGCAGCAGCGTCTGCAGCAGCAGCAGCAGCAGCAGACGCAGCAGCAGCAGCAGCAGCGCAAGCGGCGGCAGACGCAGCAGCAGCAGCAGCAGGAGCGCCGCTGGGCGCCGCAGGCGAAGACCCCGCTGCGCCCCCCGCCGACCCCCCAGCAGCAGCAGCAGCAGCAGCAGCAGCAGCAGCAGCAGCAGCAGCAGCAGAGGGGGCCCCCTTCGACGAGGCCGCGCTGCACACGCTGCCCTCCGGAGAAGTGGGGAGAAGGGCCCCCGTAAACCCTCTTCATTCTCCCTTTTTTGCAAAACTCGGAATTAATAAAAACAGAAAAAGAAAAAGAAAAGTCAAAGACCCAAAACTCCTCAATAATCCTCTGCGAGGCCGACTCGTCGTCTGCATCAGCACCACCGCACTCCTCCTCTGGCTCTTCTTCTGGGAGTGAAACCACAAACCCTAAACCCTAAACCCTAAACCCTAAACCCTAAACCCCAAACCCTAAACCCCAAACCCTAAACCCCAAACCCCAAACCCTAAAATCTCCCTCGTTTCTTCTGAAACCTCCCCCAACCCTCCCGCTCCTCCCGCTCCCCCCCCAAGCCCAAACCCTAAACCCTAAATTAGGGTTTGCGCGCAGGCTGTTGTACAACTACACGAGTTTCAACGGGCGCTGCGTGAGCCCCGTCCAGTACCCTCTTTACACCCTCAGCGAAGAGTCCGAAAGGGCCCCCATGGTGATCCGGTATGGGTACGGGGCCTGCGAGTACAACTTGGGGCCCCTGGGGGCCCCCCGGGGGCCCCTGGGGGCCCCCGCGAGCGACCGCGGGTGGCCCACGGAGCTGGTGAAGAACGGAGCAGCAGCAGCTTCTGCTGCTGCTTGGGACTCTCCTAACAGTCGGATTTTAACTGCTTTTGGAGGTTTAGAAACGAACTTCATTCGAAATTACGGAGAAGTTTTCCGAGTTTTCTCCGCCATGTACCTCCACGGAGGCTTTCTCCACATCGCCATCAACCTCCTCTGCCAAATCCAGAGCCTCTGGATGCTCGAACCCGTCCGCTGCTGCTGCTGCTGCTGCTGCTGCTGCTGCTGCGCTGCTGCTGCTGCGGAGGCTGCTGCGCTGCTGCTGCTGGGGGGGGAGGGGGGGAGTGGGTGGGGTTCTTTCTGCTGCTGCT